ATATATTCATTTGATGTATTGATTGCAAATTTGCAATATAAATAATAATTTTACCTAAATAATCACAAGTAATACATATATAATAACTTACTAATAAGAATAGAACATATATCACAAAAAAGTTAAGAAACAAAAAAAAATCATGCTTTTAAAGGTAGGGATATTTTTTGAAAAATAATTGGACATACCATTACACACAAAAAATAATAAAACATGTATAATAAAAGGAATATAAACAATACATTAGCACAAATATAAACACCCGGTTAAAGAAAGTATCAAACAAACGAATGCATGCAGGAGTATAAATAATACCAAACATTGGTTTTACAAGTTTTCAAGTAGATGGCGAATGCTTTTAAGATGAGGCAAAGTATACTTTACTGCATGATTCAAGTACATTGGTGATCTTCCTGGATATTGTGATTGCAACTTCCGATTCTTCCTCTTAGCTACTACATACGAATGAACAAAACTCGCATTTACTTCCACAAATTAAATAGCTTCTTTGTAATATGGTTTTCCACCATTCTTTTGTACAACTGCATCTACTAGGACAAGAAGTTGCCTCCGTTGCTTAGATTTCTGGGATTCATATTTTGTTTTGTTATCAAAGATAACACGCCTGTTCTCGCACAGTCTCAGAGTTTCCTATATATGTCAAATTCAAAAACAACTTACTTCATATGAATGAACAAAACCTGTAACAATCAAGAGGAGAAAAGGAATGACATGCCTTGTGGCTTAGATCATAAATCAACATTCAAAAAGAAACAAATAAAAGATTTTAAACACAGACATGTAACGATTTCTCCTTGCTATGAAGAGACATGTATTTCATAGCTAAATATATAAAATCCCACTTGCATGAGATTAAATCTAACTCCTTTTCTTTCAGCAAGTTTTAATTCATGATCATACCTTCAAGATGGGTCTGCGGGAATTACAACACATGTATTCAACGAGAGTCTCGTTATCTTCAAGCTTATCACCATGGTGAAAACTACAATCATATAGTCGTTAATTTTGGGACAAAAAAATGAACGCAAGTTCTTCAGAACATCTTTTTATATACTTGAAAAGCGATATTCAATTGACAGAACAAGAACAATAGCATCGAGACCATCAGTTGCCAAATCGGTGCATCTAGCAAATTCCTTCCCAATAGAAAAACCCAATGATCCTAGTAAGTGCATGTATCTAATTAAGTCAGGCATGTTTGAACCAATAAATAACATATATATGCTAAATTAGATGATTGAAATCCTAATTTGCTTTGGTTCTTGCCTAACCACCCCCTCCCACAAAAAAAAATTCCTATTTTCATTTTATATTGTTACACCCCTAATTTTACTTTTCTATTGTTTATTAGTTATCGAGATAACATCACCTTTTACCCTTTCTTTTCTAGTATGCAGCAACATTCAACACCAATGTGGTCCAGAAGTTTGTGTTAATTTCCTTTAGATCATATGCCTAACTATGAAGATTATAATAGGTTTTTGCTTGCTATGAAATGAATTAATACGAACATATCTGATTAAGAGTGTTAAAGAAAAAAATAACATGTACCTGGAGTATCAATCACAACAAGATTCTGTCCATTTTCTAGTTGAGTTGTTTGCATCTCACAAGTTTTGGTAGCACCAAAAATGGTATATTTCGACTTGAATGCATTTCTTCCAAGTATACTGTTCCCCGTTGCACTTATCCCAGAACCTAATTGTCCTACTAATACTATAGTTTTAACCCCGGTTGAAGGTGACGAGGACTTAATTTGAACCCCAACATGCACAAACAAATATACAAACATATATAAGTTTTCAACTAAATGGCAGAAATGGCTTGTAAAGCACACGCTCTGCGACCAGATGCTTAATCATGACAGCTGACGTGCCGTCTGCGTTGTTTCGGGGACAGCATTTCTTTTTTTTTTTTTTTTTTTTTTTTTTTTTTCTCTTTT